CCGTAAGAACCCTGATTATCATGTTATCTAAGCTAAATTAAATGGATCCCACCTAGAAAACATCCTCAATAAATGGAGTTTAAGTCTCACCTTGATGGCTGGGTGGGTCTTGGTGGTTTCGTTGCTCTTCTCTCCGGGGATGCTTCCAGCTGACCGCCCCTCACACTTATACCTGAACCTCATGCCCCTCTGCTTCGGCTGCTCGATGATCTCTATGAAGGGGCCTGCTGTTTGGACTGATGGAGAAAGAAGAAGAATGTGACGTAAATGTGGTGTGGCTGTCTTTTGGAAATACAGAAACAAAGTCTCTGTCCAGATTGTGAAAGCATGAATCACAGAATCAGTGCGTCAACACAGAAATCGGTCTGTTATAGGTACACAGTGTCAAATCTTTACTAGTTCAAAGTCAGAGCCGGGTCATATTAAACACTAATTATTTACAGTAAACCTTCTTACCTTGGTTGTGCGGTGTCATACCCCATCCATACACAGCTGTGGGGGACAACAACAAGAAGAGAAAGGTTAAACACTTGTTTGTCAAAATCTTCGAGCAATTAGTGGTTCTCCATTCAAAGTACATTGAACACAGAATACACTGGTAGTGATGATGACATAAACCAAAGGCTGCTTTCCGCACATATTTGTGGTTTGGTAAGGGTTTGTCATTTGTGAGGTGGCCAGGGTGGAAATCTACCAGACAGAGCTGCGTCCAAAGAGGTCAAAGGTCGCTGAAAAACAAGGGCTTCCCAGCTAAATATAATAAATCGCCATAAACTGCCTGCCAAGTGCGGAAAGGAGAAGAAGAAGAAGCAAACAATGACAGGCAGGGTGTAATATTGGTGTCAGATTACCTGCCTTGTTGTGAGGAGCCTCCATTGTAATTGGAGCGCTCCGGTTTCAGACTTGGTTAATGAATTGTTAAGATTCATAGACAGAAGAGGGGGGTGACAGAAAGTCAGGAGGCCGAAGCTCCACCCAAAGGCTAGTAGGACTTGTTTGATGTGAAAGCATGGGTAGGAGGATTCCCAAGTTGTAACATGCCTGCTTCCCAGACCAAACTCATAGAATGTGTTCCACATGACAACAGGCTCTGATTTAGATCAATGTATGCAAGTGGTATAATAAGCAAGTGTATACATGTGGATCTTGGAATAAGACAAACCAAAAAGGCCACAATAATTACAATTGTTATTATTTGAGAGGCAAATGAGGGCCTGATGTGAAAGTGAAAGTAAAGTAAATGTCTACCACATGGACTCCAAAACTGACTTAAAGGTGGGGTAGGTAAGTTTGAGAAACCGGCTCGAGATACACTTTTTGTTATATTCCATGGAATGCTCTTAACATCCCGATAGCAATGAATATCTTAAGTGCTTTGACAAAAAATCCATAAAAAAATGTAATCTGTGGAAGCCGTAGTACTGTAAAAAGCACGACCAATTATTTTAGCCGGCCCGGCTTAAATAACTGGATGGCCTACCTGCCTGTCAGCCTTCCATCTGTGCACAAACTTATCTCGTGCCCTCATTGGTCCTGTGGCGTTTGTGTGTGTTGGAGGAGGGGCTCTGTAAGGAAGTGGCAGATTTTTTCTAGCGCACTCGAGCGGGTTTCTCCAAAATTACCGACCCCACCTTTAATGTACTAATATCAAATCAGAGATGAAGGAAGTGAGACGTTTGTGTGAGTTATTTTTAACTTTAAATTACCCTAACAAAAGGGGTTTTTACATGGATTTAATTTCACTGTCTCTTTCCTATCCATATGGTAGACATGGAAAAATCATATACAGTATATTAACAAAGTCAATATTTTTGGGAGTTTAGGTCATTGATGTTGTTGATTGTTTATCGTGGTATGTAATGTTATTTGGCTTGGAGACAAAGGTAAAAGTGGAATAAAATAGAAAGATGGCAGTTTTTAAATCATCACAGGATACTCTTCACATCAGCATGCTTTTGAGCCACTAAACAGCCTGTTTCTATTTGGGACTTGTACAAAGTATGAAGTGCTGTTTCCATACGTCCATCCACTAAGACTGAGGTGGGCGGTTCTCGAGCAGTGAGGACCATTCATAATAAGATAGATTTTCAGAGGTGGTGAAAGTACTCAGATCTTGTACTTAAGTAAAAGTAGAAGTACCACAGTGTAGGAATACTCTGTTACAAGTAAAAGTCCTGTATCAAAATGTTACTCAAGTAAAAGTATACAAAAGTATAAGCATCAACATAATACTTAAAGTAGCAAAAGTTAAAGTAATCATTCCACAGATTGGTCCATTTCAGAATAATATATACGATATGTTTTGATTATAATTATAATGTCTTAAACTAAGAAATCCATGAGGTGGACTAACCCAATAGGCCCTTTGGCAGCTCGAGACTGTCAGGTGAGTTAGCTACACACAGAGGAATAAACACACTCAATGTAGCATACTGTTACCGGATGTAGCAGGTATAAGCCATTAAAGCACAGTAATGTCAAACTTCCTACTGTACGGTAGCGTACTCTCCGGGAACTGCAGACTCCCAATGTTAGCGCAGACCCAGTGATAGCGGGGCTTTCCCCTGTGCGCTAAACAACTCCCTGTACAGTTTCAGCTCCAGTGTCTAAAGTGAGTAAACAGGCCGAGCAGCTTAACCCACTTCCACTCACCGTCCATGGCTGTTTCCGTGTCCGACTCACGCTTCTTCGTCGACACCACTGTTTATCTGTTTGCTTGCTAAAAGACGATGCATACACGACAGTGCCAACTCCATAAACTTCTTGACATTGCTGTTCTGTCGCCTTCCTGGCTCCGCCCACCTCGGTGAACGACAGGTAGTAAAGCTTGACGTTGAGAGGGCGGTATGATAATGCAGGGCTTCCGGTGAGAACAGCGCTGAAAAAAGTCCATAATACTTCAATTAACTTCAAGAACGTGTATTTTACATGAAAAGTCCACTTTACTGTCTTCATCAAAATGTATTGAACCTATTCGTGAATTGCTGCTATTTCCATCAATGTATCTGAAAAGTTAACAATATTTAATAAGGATGAAATATACAAATACATACTTACAGTCTTTTTGAAAATTGTATGAGAAAAAGGAAGACAAAATCAATAAATAGGATACAATATAAATAACTATTAAATAAATAATGAAAATAAAACCCAAATAAGACATTAATAATAAAAAGGTAATAATGAATAAGATTGATAAAAGTCAAAGGATTTAAACACCAACTTCAAAGGGAATTTTGCAAATGAAATGGTAAAATAGATAATACAAGTCGAAACCTATAATACCTATAAAATAGAAGTAAGACATGAGTAAAACAATATAAATAATATTAAAGGTGGGGTAGGTAATTCACTTCAGAAACACTTTTTGTTATATTCCATGGAATGCTCTTAACATCCCGATAGCAATGAATATATTAAATGCTTTGACAATAAATACATTAAAAAATGTCATCTGTGGAACACAACCAATTGGCCGGCCCGGCTAACATAACTGGATGGCCTACCTGCCTGTCAGCCTTCCATCTCGTGCCCTCATTGGTCATTTGCGCGTTCGTGTGTGTTGGAGGAGGGGCTCTGTAAGGAAGTCTGAAGGAAGGGGCAGATTTTTTTCGCCTGCGTACTTTCAAATTCTAGCGCACTCTAGCTGGTTTCTCCATTCTTACCTACCCTACCTTTAAGGTAAAAACAACTAAAACATAAAAACATAGAAGCTAAATTGTACCGTACAATTTCTGTTAAACTGTTAAACTTGATCTTGAAATTGTTGGTTTCTTTGTCTGTGTCAATTGAGGTAATATATCTGATTTAAGTTTTTACATTATTTTTGGACATTGTGCTCAGATTACAGGGACTGTGTGTGTTGAGGTTATACGGCTTCTTTTGTTTTGTAAAACATTTATCCTACACTTAGTACTAGGTAAATGTTATTACGACATCATTACTGGATGCATGTGTTTTCACGTCAATTGACCGTTTTATTCTGAAGAGAAAACCATTCTGTTTCCGGTGCTGTCTCTTGGCTAGCTTGACCCAGCTGCAGCCCTTCGCCTTTTCTCTCTCTGCAGTGCAACTCGCCACCACCCACTCAAAACAGTGCGGAAATACCCAGATGACGCACTTGAAAGGAAACAAAAAAAGAGGTTGAGTGGGAGAGGCGATAACATAACTTCTGGATTTAGTCATAAACTGGAGAGTGTTACACTCTGCTGCTGCTACAATAACATCTATTTTCCAGGCCTTGACATTGGCAAAGTAGTGCCATTACACATGTAAGGATACTACCTCTGTTTATTAAATAGTATTTGTTGTTTACTTTCATTTGTTCAACAAAAAAGAAATAATTTAATAATCATAAAAACAGAAACTTAAGAAACACAATTCCCTCTGACCAGAAGAGGGCGCTGTAGGTGAATAAATCAATGGTGTCATTAGCAGCACTGTGCATTATTCCCCTCATACAACATGTCTCTTGTTTATTAGTTTGTCCACACGTTTCATGGGTCGAAAAAAGCGTCTCATAATTACCAATATTATCTGAGTCAGTTGATCATTACCCTACAAGTTACCAGAAACGAAAGACACTTGAATATTAAACTCTAAAAGTGTACTCACTAAAGCTCACTAAAGTTTTCAGCTTAGTTTATTACATTTATATTTTTTCAAACATTATTGTATTACTTTTTTATTCGTATTACAGCAATATCACAGTGACCTGTTGCGAAGGCACTGGATATATCGATGCCTTCATCTACTGTCGGAAATCCCATTGAAAAGTAAAAAAAAACAAAACAACAACATTCAGTTAGGCAACTGTTGGAAAGTGGGAATTGCCATTAAATATATTAATTATGTGTCAATATTTAATGTTACAATAATATGCTTGAAAGAACCTGTTAAGGTCCTTAACGAGTAATTAAAAGCTCTCCACTTTCTTTTTTTAAGGTAGAGAATAGAGTATCCGAGGCACATTGAATGTAGCACAATAGTCCTAAACGGGAGGCCTGAGTGGGAGGCGGGGCCTGCCCTGCCCCTCTGCCTGCTCCACACACTGCGGCGGGCAGAACTGTTAGCTACAGAAATGGCGGAGGGGGAGTTGGACGTCGACTCGCTGATTTCCAGGCTCTTGGAGGGTGAGTTATCAACCATACTATATTCATATCTACCGGTTGTTGATGACTTTAGTGCTCGAGGATTGTTCGGATTTAGTTTCGACACGAGTCGACAGAAAAACGGAACGCTTTGGAGTATCCTGCTGGAGGAGTAAACGGGACTAGTTAAGAAATAATAACCAGAACGTGAGACTTTTAATACATTAAGTTGAGTGTTGGTTAACTATTGAATAGTTATAAAGTTATAGTTCCAGGTCAGGTCGAGTATTGGAGAAAAAAAGAACTAACTAAATTATGTTGCATCATTGAGTGTGTTCCTTTATTAATGTTGCAATACTTATTTTACACTCTTATTACTTTGACATGTAGCATAAAACCATAGCTTAGATTCTTAGAAGCTTCTACTAAAATATCCTGGCTCTGCTTGTATTTCCACAAGCTTTTCACAACAATATAGACTGTGGTGGGCGGGAGCCTGCAATGGATATCAGTCCTTTAAGTTGACATTTCTTTTAGAACAACTGCAGCTTGGTAAATAAAGTATGCCGAAACTTCCAGCACAATTGCATGTTTTCTAAAGATACTTAACATATTGATTTTACTATGTATATATATTGTTTGCCGCAGTCATAAGTAAAAATGTCAAGTTTCAAATGGGATTTGGCTGGAGGGTTTGTCAGCTGTAAATAATGCACGTCACAGGGCTGTGGTGTTTATATGGGAATGTTGCTGAATGGCAATGTTTACACAAGGACTTGATGATATTCCATTATAAATAGACCCTCAGAGTGTGTACCCTGTAAGCATTACAACATGAACTTAGTCTGTGACTCCAAGTATTTTGTAATCCCATTGCCTATTTTTTGAAAGTTTCACGTGCGAACATAACACCGTCTTAAAAAGTTTCTGTTAAACACACAAGAGTATGTATTAAGCTGTTATCCTTCACATGTTTTAACATGAATGCAGCAGATTATCCCAAGCCTTATCTTCCTGAATTAAAAGATAATAAAATAAAAGCTTTTCCAGTTTAGCTGTGAATGACAATAAGTGCCTCTAATGAGTTGCTGTCTCCTTGGGTGGGACAGTTAGTATTGTATGAGACCGCACTAAAGTAACTTCAGTACTTTCGAAGAAAGCGTTGTTGCTCCTACAACACTGCTATGTGTTGGGTGTCAGTGGATTCTTAGCATTGCCAAATAATGCCCCTTTCACACCAACGCGGTTCCAGGGCCGGTTCGGAGCTAGAGCCTGATAAGCACCGTTTTTTCCTGTTCACACCGCAGCGGAGCCGGGTGTTTTCCCCGAAAACCGGTTCTTACCAAGCTCCAAAAAATTGTCGGTCTAGAAGCAAGAACCGCATACGTCACGCTTACGTCGGAGCCGGGGGCAGGGGCAGGATCAACCTGAGCAATAACAGTTTATGGCGAGTAGGCTACGGCAAATAAAAGTTGTAACAAGCAGTAGCGCTGAGCAAAGTGACTAGAACGCAACCACACACTTGTAAAAAAAAAACACACTTTATAAAGTCAGGCAACACTAACCAGGTTTAGTGTGATTCTGTTTATTTGTACCTTACTTTGACCATCCGTTTGCTGTCATTGATCATTGTGGAGAGCAGGCAGACGTTTTGTTTTGTATTATAGCAGCTATCGGATGGAATCAATACATGGGCTGCACAGGTTGTCATGTCCGACTATCACAAGTAGAATCATAATGAAAAATACGCCGGTAAAATGTGCCTGTAGAAAACGGCTTATGCCACAATAGGATAGCAACAAGTTGTCAAGATAGTCAGTTTAGCTTCGGTTGTTATGCTATCACCCATTTTATACCAGAGAAACGTTCATAACAGCGTTGTGATGCCAAACCGCGGGCAGCACTGCAGCGGTCGATAAATGCCGCTGAAACACATTAATAAACAATGAACCACGGCACTCTGGAGAAAAGTATAAGGTTGGAGAAGTAGTTATTTAATTTAATCTGGCTTCGTATGATTAAAAGCAACACGATCATCGCACAACGCAGTCCCCCATTGTTGTTGTTGTGAGCAGCGTTGGGGAGAAACGTGATCCGACGTAAACGGTGACGTCATGACGCAGCCGCGGGAGCACCAGTTGGGATCTGGGCGGTGTGAACAAAACGGGGGCTGAAAAGAAGAACCGGTTCCGAACTAGAAGAGCGCAAGCACGGAGCTAGCCCTGGTGTGAAAGGGCTAAGGGATCCTGTATATTGAAATCCGTCTGACTGTCCTCTCGCCTTTTGTTCTCTACAGAACACAGAGACAGTGTCCCTCTGTGTCTTCAGCAAACATGGAGGCAGCCAGCATTCATGATCAATTGTCGGTCACTGAAAAAACTGAAACGTTGACTTTAATTAAATATATAACGTTTACATTTTCCGTGCACTACAGATTCTGAAAACCACACACACATGCTGGCAGCTAATGAATGACCACAATGTGGATCAGTACCACCTAATCATCTTGATTGATTTGGACTGACTGATTACATAATAGTGTGTGTTTGTGTGTCAGCTGTACATTAACCGCAATGTGAGCCTGTGTTGTCAGCTGGGAAAGGCTATGCTGTAGCTAGTTTGCTGCATATTTAGTTGCTTTTTTTGCAGCAACTAGAAAACCTCAGTAGAGGAAATTGGAGGGATCTGGCCCTAAAGGCTTCCAGATGTGAGCTGAGAATATATCCAACATCCATCTTCTTTCAGTCACTTTCTCTTTCCATCTAAAGCAGCAATATGTGAAGGCTAACTCATTTTTTCGTTTAAAAAAAAAAAAATAGTGAGACTCGGGTTGAATAGTAATGTCTTTCCTGTAAAAGTTTTCGAATTCTAAATGTTGTCTTAGCTCAAGCCGTACAAGTTTTCTGCCAAAATAAAAGGTTGTAGTGGCAAAAAGCGAAATCTGTACTGGAGAGTTTGACCGCAAAACATTTTCATTTTTATGAGCAGATTATATATTTTCCATTCTTTTGAATTCTTCTTGTTGTCTATAGGATCTCAGGAAGCAGTAAAAAATGGCTGCACAGTTTACAAAATCTCAAGTTGACATGTTCAACAGGTTTCTCACAATAGACAAGTGTACAAAACAAAGCCAAACTAATCATGTCCAACACTAGGAGACATATTCGGACCACACAGGCAGAAGTAAACTGTTAAACTGTCTGCCATATGGCTGATCAGTTTGTCTTCGTAAGGTTTTTTTTTTTTTTTTAAGAATTGACCTTTCAACAACACACTGTCTCACAGACACTGATGAAATCCTTTATATATTTTAAACAGATTACATCTACAGCCTGCTTTTCATTAAGACCTTTACTAAATGGCCTGTCAGTGGATTTCTTCTGGCACTCAGTTCAAGGAGCTCAGAAGGTTCCCCTTATCCACTTTAATAGGAGGTTGATCCCCCACTTTTTCCACTGGTGCCAGTCGGGATCTACACACACACACACACACACACACACACACACACACACACACACACACACACACACACACACACACACACACACACACACACACACACACACACACACACACACACACACACACACACACACACACACACACACACACACACACACACACACACACACACACACACACACACACACACACACACACACACACACACACACACACACACACACACGGAGAGCTCTCTGATCTCCTATTAAATGTCAACAGGAACAGCTGCCCCTGGTAGAAATTAACTTACCCTTTTGGTGACACACACAGGGGGAGAGTGTAAAAAGGGCAATACAGTAATACAGTAGAATTGACTAATCCTCTCCTGCAATGTTTATTCATTTTGAACATTGATGAGGTAAAGAAGTATTTAAACCTTATTGAAAACAAATACAAATAATTAAACCTCCATAAAATTCCATCAAACATGTTTATGATATATGCTCACATAGGCGTGACAATAGTGTCTTAAATTCAATAAGAATCTAAAGACATGCTAGCAGCTGAGTTAGCTTTGGGTTTTAGCTAAATGCTATTGTCGGCAAGCTAATTTGCCTGCTGCACAAGTAATGTTGACCAGCATTTAAATCTAGGATGCTAGCAAGCTAAAATTAGGGAATTAGCACTAAACCCTTAGCAAATTATAATAATTTGAATGTCATTATTTGTTCTTGCTTTTACAGGATATGTGGTCATAAACTCAAGTATTGGATGAATTGGAGTAATGTATGGTCATCCTAATACATACAATGCCTTATGTCCTCCATAAGATGTTTAATAGGGGTTGTCAGGCGTATAGCTGACAGGCTAACCCTGATCATCTGACAACATGGTTTAGAATGAGTGACCGCACAGTGAAGCTTTCTGGCCTCTCTGGTTTCATTCGTCACTCTGAGTACAATGACCTAGCACCTGCTGTCTTATGACCAGGCTAGTGAGTCACAGTTGAAAGGTAAGCAACACAATGGTGTATGGATTAATTTACCATCACTATTTGTCTGTATTTAATAAAATGGCATTCATATGTGTGTGTGTTTCTGTCTGTATGTGGATATCAGGCAGTCAGGGTGGCCACACTTGTTCAGTCATGTCACTGGTTCCCATTCCTCTCATGCCATAGTCATCAAATTAGAGTGGAATTAATCCATTTGGTTTATTTTGTATTTAAATTGGCCAGACCGGATTAAAAATATATATTTCCTAAGGTGTGTGTATGAGGGATCAGAGCTGGAAATGGTTTCTTATTGGTCAGAAATATGGCATGGAAAATGTAAAAACAATACTTTTTTTTAGCATCGACCTGAAAACACCAAACAAGCACCATGGAGCCTAACGCGCCGCAGATACGTTTGTTGATCTTGACAGTATTCCTGCTTTGGCGTTTCTTGCAAAACAGATGCCGAGATGTCAAGCAAACATCGGACTTTTGGCGAAGTTCCACTCACTTCTTACCTGTTGTTTACTGGTTTCATGTCAACCAATTCGGGCGCAAGGAGCCCATACATTTGTTTAGTTTACACCCTGCAATATTGCTAAGG